CCACCCCCTGCACACACTGTTACTCCACTCTCTGCACACACTGTTACTCCACTCCCTGCATACACTGTTACTCCACTCCTCTGCACACACTGTTACTTCCACCCTCGCACACTCTGTTACGCCACTTTCCTGCACACAAACTGTTACTTCCACACCCTGCACACAGTACTCTACTCCCTGCACACACTGTTGCTCCACTCTCTGCACACACTGTTTACTTTTACTCTCCACTCAATGCACACCCTGTTACTCCACTCCCTGCACACACTTTTGACTCCCACACTGCACACACTGTTACTCCACACCCCCTGCACAACACTGTTACATCTCCTCCACTCCCTGCACACACTCCACCTCTCTGCACACAACTGTTACTCCACTCCCTGCACACACTGTTACCACTCCCAGCACACAGACTGTACTCCACCCTCTGCACTCTTCTGTTTATTTCAACCCTCGCACACTGTAATCCACTCTCTGCACCACTTTACTCCACTCCCCTGCACACACTGTTACTTTCCACTCCCTGCACACACTGTTACTCCACCCTCAGCACACTCTGTTTATTCCAACCCTCTGCAAAACTCTGTTATTCCACTCCTCTGCACACTGAACTGTTACTCCACTCCCTGCACACAACTGTTACGACCACTCTCAGACACACACTGTACTCCACTCCCTGCACACACTGTTTACTTCCACTCCCTGCAAACAACTGTTACTGCCACTGGTGGCCCTGCACACACTGTTACCAGCCCTCTGCACACAACTCACTGTTTCTTACTTCCACTCTCTACAAACACTGTTACTTCCACTCCCGCAACACACTGTTATCCACTCCCTGCACACACTGTACTCCACTCCCTGCACAACTGTTTCTCCACTCCCTCCACATACTGTTTTACTCACTTCCCTGCTACACACTCTTACTCCACTCCCTGTACACACTGTTTACTATCCACTCCCTGCACACAGTTACTACTCCACTCCTGTACACTGTTTACTTCCACTCCCTGCACACACTGTTAAACCCTTCCCTGCACACACTGTAACACCACTCTCTTCACACAAACACTGTTTACTACCACTCCCTGCACACAATGTTACTCCACTCCCTGCACACACTGTTAGTCCACTCTCCTGCGACACTCTGTTACTACTCCACCCCTGCACATCACTGTTACTCCACCCCCTGTACACCTGGTTTACGCTCCACTCTCCTTCACACACTGTACTCCACTCCCTATACACACTGTTAGACACGATTCCCTGCACAGACTGTTAGACACGACCCACTGCACACACTGTTAGACACGACCCCCTGCACACACTGTTAGACACGACCTTCTGCACACACTGTTAGACACGACCCCCTGCACACACTGTTAGACACGACCCCCTGCCCACACTGTTAGACACGATTCCCTGCACAGACTGTTAGACACGACCCACTGCACACACTGCTAGACACCCCCCCCCCCTGCACACACTGTTAGACACGACCCCGTGCACACACTTTTAGACACGACCTCGTGCACACACTGTTAGACACGACCCCCGGCACACACTGTTAGACACGACCCCCTGCACACACTGTTAGACACGACCCCCTGCACACACTGTTAGACACGACCTCCTGCACACACTGTTAGACACGACCCCCTGCACACACTCTTAAAACACGACCTCCTTCACACTGTTAGACACGACCTCCTGCACACACTGTTAGACACGACCCACTGCACACACTGTTAGACACGACCCACTGCACACACTGTTAGACACACCCCCTGAAACACACTGTTAGAGCACGCCCCCCTGCACACACTGTTAGACACGACCCCCTGCACACACTGTTAGACACGACCCCTGCACACACTGTTTGACACGACCCCCTGCGCACACTGTTAGACACGACCCACTGCACACACTGTTAGACACGACCCACTGCACACACTGTTAGACACGACCCCCTGCACACACTGTTTGACACGACCCACTGCACACACTGTTAGACACGACCCACTGCACACACTGTTAGACACGACCCACTGCACACACTGTTAGACACGACCCACTGCACACACTGTTAGACACGACCCACTGCACACACTGTTAGACAGTTGCACTGAATTCTAAGAAGACGTAATGTGTGAGTCGTAGGAAATTGTCTTAAACTTAGACGGTGGCTCAAGAAATCGTAACGACAAGATTGCAAACCAGTGAACTGGTGAAGTTCGATCCCACGTCAAATGTGTGGTAAAACTCCATGCCGGTACGTTAACCACTGGACCAGCTGGCTACAGTAAGATTCACCCAACGTGGTATATTTATACACAGTAGTGAGGTTAGCATGGGCCACCACTGTGACCACAAATGCTGTTTTTTTTTTTTTTACAGATGAATCCCTTGCCAATGCGGCTGTGATGAACTCTAGCTTTTGTTTCCTCAAAGCTGCCATCATTGCTCATGAGATTCATCTGTAAAAACTTGTATTTGTGGTCACAGTTGTGGCCCAGGCAAACCTCCCTATGGTGTATAGAAATATACCTAGTTGGGTCTCATTTGCCATGGGTTCTAACCCCACCCGTTCCCTGGTTTGTTTGTAGAGGATGAGTTTATGTCTGAAGACGAGAGTGAGACATACATAGTCTCTGTCTCTCTCTCACACGCCTGGTCAAGTACGTCAAGGAATTAGAGAAAGTTCAAAGGTTTGCAGCAAGACTAGTCCCGAAACTAAATGGTATGTTCTACGAGGAAAGGTTAAGGGAAATCAACCTGAGGACACTGGAGGACAGAAGGGATAGGGGGGACATGATAACGACATAAAATGTTGAGACGAATTGACAAGGTGGACAGAGACAGGATGTTCCGGAGATGGGACACAACAACAAGTTGTCACAACTGGAAGTTGAAGTCTCAGATGAGTCACCGGGATGTTAGGAAGCATTTCTTCAGTCATAGAGTTGTCAGGAAGTGGAACAATCTGGAGAGTCATGTAGTGGAGGCAGGATTCATACATAACGTTAAGAAGAGGTACGATATAGCTCATGGAGCAGGGAGAAAGTGGACCTAGTAGCGACCAGCGAAGAGGCGGGGCCAGGAGCTATGACTACACAGTACACAGGGTCGGGGGAGGAGAGAGGCAGTAAGAGGTGTGTAATGCAGATGTAAGGAGAGTGAGTGAGTGTCTGCCAAGATGGAAGAACTGTCATAAAAATGTTGAGGTGGGAGGCTGCTCACTCCTCCGTGTATCTTGCAGCATCTTACATGTACAGGTAAGAACCTTCCCAGGGCGCACCAGCGCAACCTCTAACATCAGACAGAGGGGGGGGGAGACAAAGAGAGAGAGAGAGAGGGGAAGACAGAATAGGAAACAAGAAAACAGGGTCAGAGAGGAATACTGAGAGAAAGAGAGAAACAAGGACAGAGAGAGAGAGAGAGAGAGAGAGAGAGAGAGAATAGTTTAAAATTGGTGTTTATTTTCTTATTCTTCACTTCCGGTAATCCTTCTTGTCTTGTTTTGTATACCATTTATGTACAATCCTTCTTGCTTGCTTCACACTTTTCTATGACTTTCCATAACATTAACACATTACCTCTCCGTCTGCAGTGTCCCAGCGAGAACACTGTCAGCAGAAAAATCTGAGAAATACGGTGTAAAAGGAATCTGTGTATTTCGGCCTAAATCAGGGACCATCTTCAGAATTTCTGAAAGCCCTCTTCATTTTACTTTTTCGCTTTACCATTTCTAAATATACGTCAGGAACAGCTTTTCCCTCGACTACTAAAGATAGTTTGGTTAATTTGTTCTCTGTCGCCATTGTAATAATGTCGGTCTCATAACTGGGGAGTAATGGCTTGTAATAACATTGGTAGAATTAACCACAATATGTCAGTTAAAGGACACAAGTGTAACTACTGCTCTGACAGGAGCTCTGTCAGAGCAGTAGAGGTGGTTATGTGGCTATTTGAGGTGGTCAGTTGCTCAGCTTGAGGGACTGACCACCTCAAATACATTTTCTCCAAGGTTGATGGACCGATTGATTATATCATCTTTATTTCACTACTACACCTGCTGTCTCTGTATTTGACTGAAGAACCCTCATGAATAAGCGAAACGTTTCAGCACTAAAGATGTCCCTCCAGGATATTCTCCAGCGCGTGAGGGGGTGTGACAAGTTGAAAGAAGTTCATTTTCCACATTGCAACCTAGCAAGATGCAATTCCCATTGATTGCTGCTCTTTCTGTCACGATGGTATTGAAATACATTCCTAGGATTCTCTCTTTCAAGTTCCACTCCACGAGGACTTGGTCTACGGCATCCGCCATGGCTCTGCCGGTCCCGGCTTGAAGACTTACGGGACTCCCAGGAGCTGATATTTGGTATTTCCAGAGACCAGGATGGTGAGCTGGTCCACTGCCTCCTTCCTGATGATACCAGGCATCCTCTTCATCCTGTCTCAGTGGACGACGAACCGAATACTGGGGTAAAGCTTTTTGTCTTCAGGTGAGAGATCTGGTTCTTCATTCACTGACGATGGATCGATGTACGACTGATGGTCAGCTCAGAGAGGCTGTGGTTAAATGACTGGGCGGTAGAGACGAGGATGAAGGTCGCTTTGCAGTTAAAAACTTTGATTTAATCAAGAGTGGCAGTAGTAGCTGCTGCAGCAGCTGCTACTACTGCCACTCTTGATTAAACCAAAGTTTTTAACTGCAAAGCGACCTTCATCCTCGTCTCTACCGCCCAGTCATTTAACCACAGCCTCTCTGAGCTGACCATCAGTCGTACATCGATCCATCGTCAGTGAATGAAGAACCAGATCTCTCACCTGAAGACAAAAAGTTTTACCCCAGTACTCGGTTCGTCGTCTACTGAGACAGGAGGAAGAGGATGCCTGGTATCGTCGGGAAGGAGGCAGCGGAACGGCTGCCGATCCTAGTCTCATCAAGAAAGATATGGACTCATGGACATTGACGTACCTCAGCAAGCTGCCTCAGCATCATCATCTCTCGTCTCGGTTTTGCTCGAGGATGCTTGCTGTAGGAGCAGCTTCCTTCCTATGATCTTCCGGCAACATTCGCTTGATGACCTGCTGCTCAGGAGCTTAATATTGGCCTCCTTCCTCGCCATCTTCACGTCAGCACACCACCCCCATTGATCCTGCTTGTCTTCCTCCACAGTGGGAAAGCAGGAACTGACAGCCCTCTCCCGGAGCTATTATCAACAGCGCTTGATAGCGGAAATCGTCTGTTGCATGTATGTAAATCTTGCACTGATTCTTGACTATGACAGATCTGTTTTTATCAGCTGTGACACAGAACAGTGTTATGTTTCAAGGACTTTTCAAACTTGTTAAATTTAAATGTCACTAATTTAGAGTTGCTGGGCAAAGTTGGTGACGTGTTACCACCCTCGTGACAGGCTTCTGCCTCCCCTAGTGTTACTGTCACGCTTGTAAATAAGAAGAGAGATGGAGTAGGGGGAGGCGGGAGGAAGGGGTTGGTAGGGAGGAGGGGGGTGGCAGCGTAACAACAGTATTAGAGAGAATTGTCTTGAGTACTGTAGAATCAGGTACAACTACTGTTAAGTATGACAGTTGTGTCCATCTCTGTTCTCTCTCTTCCTCATCTCTTACACCTTCTTTCCCGTTGCTTCCTCTCTCTCTCTCTCTCTCTCTCTCTCTCTCTCTCTCTCTCTCTCTCTCTCTCCATCTTCTCGCTGCGTCTTTTCTTTTTTTCTTCTAGTTTCTCCCAGTTTTTCCTCCCTCTCTTCCGCTAGCCTCTATCTCCCTCTTCAACATCATTCACTACACTTTCCTCTGCACTTATCCCTCTTCCTCTCCCTCATAGTTCTTCCTCGTCTCCTCTGTTCATATCCACCTCTATTCTTTTCTTCTACACCTATCCGATTCGTTTTCTATCCCCTCCTGCTACTGCACCTCTCCCTATTCTCCTTCCATGCACCTGTCTCCTTCCCTCTTCCTCCCTCCTTATCAGAACCCTCCCTCTCTCCTTCCTTCTAAGTACTGTTTTCTTCTCTTCAGTGGGGCTGTTCTTTCCTTCATTGAATCAAACCTGATTGTCTTCCGTATAGCCACTATGGGTTTAGCCCGTGTCTTGTACATGTACTACTACTACACTACTACTACTACTACTAATTATTATTATTATTATTATTATTATTATTATTATTATTATTATTATTATTATTATTATTATTATTATTATTATTATTACTGTTGTTGTTATTCTTATTATATCTACAATCTGTGTGTATACCTTTGTCATCTGTGTGTATACTTCTCTCATTTGTGTGTATACCTCTGTCATCTGCTTGTATACCTCTGTCATCTGTGTGTATACCTCTGTCATCTGTGTGTATACCTCTGTCATCTGTGTATACCTCTGTCATCTGTGTGTATACCTCTGTCATCTGCGTGTATACCTCTGTCATCTGTGTGTATACCTCTGTCATCTGTGTGTATACCTCTGTCATCTGTGTGTATACCTCTGTCATCTGTGTGTATACCTCTGTCATCTGTGTGTATACCTCTGTCATCTGCGTGTATACCTCTGTCATCTGTGTGTATACCTCTGTCATCTGCTTGTATACCTCTGTCATCTGTGTGTATACCTCTGTCATCTGTGTGTATACATCTGTCATCTGTGTATACGTCTGTCATCTGCTTGTATACCTCTGTCATCGGTGTGTATTCCTCTCCCCTCAGAGCGGCGTCTCACCCCTCACTGAGCGAGGTTCTACCAGCCCCACCCCTTTAAGCTCGTCCTTCCCTGCCCCCTCAGAGCCACGCCTCTCTCAAACCACGCCTCTTTCAGAGCCACGCCTCTTAAACGACGCCTATTTCAGAGCCACGCCTCTCAAACCACACCTCCTTAAGAGCCACGCCTGTCTCAATCCGCGCCTCCTTCAGAGTCACGCCTGTCTTAAACCACGCCTCTCTCAAACCACGCCTCCTGTGGGCCCATAAACCCCCCTTCTTGACCTGTTCCTTACCCTTGTTCTTGTCCCTCTCAGCCTTTCCCCTTGCTCTACACATGTATTAATCACTTCTTCTTGCCCTACACTTCCCTTTCCCGAAGGATGGACTTGGTTATGCCCCCCTGGGGGTGCTGGAGGAGGGTAAATATGGGGGTTGGGTGGCGCCGGAGCACTTTAGAGGAGTGTACCCTGCGTCTGGCCCTGGCCGGACCCGTTTTCTGTGACACCTGTGTGGATGACCAACTGCTGAAGTTGTTAATTGTTTATGTTCACTCACTCACTCGCTCGCTCATTCATGCACTCATTCATTCATACTCACCCTTGTTCACTCACTTATATTTTTGGCTATATTCACTGTTAGAGTTGTGTGGGTGGGAAACTATTCTCTCTCTCTCTCTCTCTCTCTCTCTCTCTCTCTCTCTCTCTCTCTCTCTCTCTCTCTTACATATATATATAATAATATATATATATATATATATATATATATATATATATATATATATATATATATATATATATATATATATATATATATATATATATTCAAATTCAAAGTTTATTCTCTATAAGGATTACAATGCTGAGTTTACAGAAATTTGGTTATTGTTTGGTTTACATGTAGTAAAATTGTGATTACAGAGTGTACCACTAGAACGCTTAGCATGGCTAGGCATTTCGGGCATACTTAGTTTTATTCTTAATTGTAAAATATTACAAATTATGAGGTAAGTTGGTATTATGGCTAAGTGACTAAATACTAGTTTGTGAGTTTAGCAATGTGAATGCTTTTTTTTTTGGCACAGTATATAGTTTCAGTATTGGAGTATCACAGGATTCATTATTTTAAGACTGAGATTAATATTTCTGTTTATGGTCAAATGGGTGAGCGAGTGTAAGTGTGAACCACCAGGTGGTATTTGTGTAGTTAGTTGACGGGGTTTATCAGGGAGATAAGATGTTTTCTAATGGTAGTTTTGAAGGTGATGAATGTGTCTGCAGTTCTAGAGTTCTCAGGTAGGGTATTCCAGATTTTAGGGCCTTTGACATACATTGAATTTTTGTAAAGGTTTAGTCGGACACGGGGAATGTCGTAGAGATGTTTGTGTCTGGTGTTATATATATATATATATATATATATATATATATAATATATATATATATATATATATATATATATATGTACTCACCTAGTTGAGGTTGCAGGGGTCGATCCATAGCTCCTGGCTCTGCACACACACACAGATATGTGTGTGTCTGTAAAGCGACGGTGTGTGTCACTTGACTGTCCTGTGCTTCCCAGCTGCCTTCTACCTGCATAGCCAGTAGTAATAATAATAATAATAATAATAATAATAATAATAATAATAATTATAATTGTTTCTACCAGTACATGATCCAACTTATAAAGATCATAGCTGACATCAGTGACATACTATATAGAAAGTTCCTGGTTATGCAGAGCATTTCCCGCAACTTGGGTTAATTTTGTCCCCAGGATGCCACCCACACCAGTCCATTAACACCCAGGTACCTACTTACTCCTAGGTGAACAGTGACAGCAGGTATCTTAAGGAAACACGTCTTAATGTTTCCACCCGTACTGGGGATCGAATCATGGTCCTCTGTGCGTGAGCTGAGTGCGCTACGAACCCAGGTACGGAACACCTCAAATCCAGCGTGGTTGTTGTTTTAAATAAGGCTGAATATTCAGGTGATACAACTTACAAGACGTTCAGTAAGAACCACCTTGCCCCTCCTCGACCAGGTCAGTCGTTACTGAAGCCCGGTTGATGAGGGCCCCCCAGCTGCTAGGAGGTCTAGTCTGGGTAATGGGGGTCGTTGGGCCCCGGAACACTCTCCAGGTAGACTCCTGGGACGACTCTCGCCCCTCGTTCCCTCCACTCAAGATTTATGCATCTTTTTCGTCATCCAATTCTGCTCCATCCTCTCTAAATACACAAACCACCTCAAAAAACAACAACGCAGAATTATGCCTCTGGTAACCACACTCTTCTAATTTCTACACTTTTAATTCTACGCATAAAATTCACGCCACACATTGCTCTCAAACATACCAATTTCTACTGCCACTGACCAAATTCTATCAAAAAAGAATTCTCCGACCTGAGTAAAACGGAAGGCAGTGTTGGAGTCATTGAGGTACATGACCACTCCTGTCTGCTTACTTTTAGTGATGCTCCCCAATCTTCAACAGTCACAAACTCGAGGACTATAACACAGCCTTTTAAAGTACACGTTAAAAATTGTCCTGTGCCTCTGGCTTCCAGAGAGACAGGGAAAGTGAACCTCACGTTCAGACAGACATGGTAGACTGAAGATATGAGTACCTTATCATAACAATAGTTATAACAATAGTAATCTTTATTTCTACAAGTACATGTACAAGGTATATAGATCATAGCTGACATCAGTGACATACTACCATATAGAAAGCCCCTTGTTATGCAGAACATTTCGGCCAAATTAGGTCAATTTTGTCCCCAGAATGCCACTCACACCAGTTGACTAACACCCAGGTATCCATTTAACTGATGGGTGAACATAGACAACAGGTGTCTTATGGAAATACGTCCTAAATGTTTTCCAGTCGTACCGTGGGATCGATCGACGAACCTCAGTGTGTCAGCTGAGTGCTCTACCGATCGAGCTACGGGACATCCAAATTGTGTTAAGTAAAAGGACACAAGTACAACTAATGGGACATTTTATTGTGGCAACGTTTCGCTCTCCCTGTATTGTTACAAACTATACAGGGACACAGAGTTTATATGTAGGTATTACAATTGTGGTGTAAGGCATAATGTAATCGTCGTAGTAATACTAGAAGTAGTACTTGTGGCAGCTATCTTATTTTCCTTCATGGCATCAGACGACATAAAATAAATTCTTGCAGATCACCTGGATGGTGCGGCAGATATATAACACCTTGGCTACACTAGGGTCGTTACTGAGTGGGAGACTCTCACTACTATATTCCCAGAACCAGCTGTAGTGCTGGCTTACAAACAGTCCAGCTGGGACATCTCCATTGTAGAAAATGTGCGGGAAAACAAAGTCCGACAGGGAGACTGTCCATCTCAGGGCTGTGAGTGCACATCACTCTGGGGACT